GGAAAAAAAAAAAAAAAAGAGAAACAGTAAGATAATGTCCTCACATGTTTGTTGAACATAAAAAATATAGGAAAACTAATTGCTACAATGACACCATTAGGCAGCTCGATTTTTGCAGCACTGACATCAGCCATGCTGGCATTGAGGACCCAGAACAGATGCTCACACTTCCTTGGTCCTAGCCAGACTCACAGTTCATAGGTATAAACTGTTTGCACCAAAATCTACCAAAGACATTCATACTCTTTGGGTCCATCCTATGGGACCCCTGAGTGGGTGACTACGGATCAGCTAGTTCTCTTCCAGACCATTCCACAAAAATTGCCTGGTTCAGACAAACCTTGTGCTCTTCAGCCAGAAAGATTTACGTACAGTTTAATTATTCTTAAATGCTGGAGGCTAAAGAGACAAATGGAGCTGAAATGGCCACCCTTTCAGTAAGGACACCCCATGTCAGAAGGCCTGGGTTTGTCAGATCTGCAAATATATATTTTTTTAAGCTTTGATTTTCACTCTATTATGAATTAATTAATGTGTCCCACTAGTAAAGTGACACATTCTACGCTCAGCTCGTGCAACTGCTTAATGACATGAATAGCTCATTACCTTGTTAATGACTTTATAATGGTGATTTATCTAAGTTTGTTTAAGAAAATGACTTTCTTTTGTTTAAGCGTGCTTCCTTCAAGTGTCTATTTCCCAAAGCCACTTGTCTAACCTCTAAGTCCTTCTGGATTTCAGGTAAACCCTTATTCCAATTTCTGTTACATTAGTTATTACTCTGTGTATGCCTGGCCCAGACTGACTTAGTCTGAGCTGGTTGGTGGCTTTCAGATACAAACTGAGTCACCTTAAAGGGTCACTGCTCAGCCCAATACTGGAAGACAAGGAAAATATTGCCCAGAAGCCTGTGAAAACCAGGCAGCTGGAGATACTTCTGGAAAACTAAACCAAGTCTGTATGCTGTGGGATACTAAAGGCACTGGAATTCAGTGGAGCTCTCAAAGGTGCTCGACTCCTTGTAGCAATACCCCCTTTAAAACAGTCTCCTCCTTTCTACATTTGTCACCTCTCCCCTGGAGGAGCGAGCCAAATGTCTCTCAAAGGCTCAGTCACTGGGGTCAGTGGATCTAGGCCAACTGTACACCCTAAAGCTTCCTCCAGACCTCCTGGCTCAGAAGCAGCTGGCTTGTCTCTAGCAGCATTCCATTATTACAAACCTCAGTGCAACCAGTCTAGCACATGCTAGGAAGGAGAAGGGAGATAGTTTCTGCTAGGGAATAAATGCATAATACATGTGGTGAATTTTAATATAATTATTAATTCATACACCTAAAAATCCCCTAATACAAAATTAATTTTGCCTTAAGCTTTTCTGTATTTTTCCTAAAAGTATTGCCTGCATTTTTCATGAGCACCAAGCTGATGAATGCATTAATACAAGGGCAGATCCAGTTTTGCACCAGATCTCGCTGTCACTTGTATTCAGTACCTAGCACTTGTCTTTAAAGTCTAAAATGTTGATTTGAAAAGGCCTGACTGAAGCTGAAATGCCAGGAGTTTGGCTCATCTTGGCACCAAAGCCAGAGCAAACTTAGCACAGGCTGTGCGAGGGCATGTGCCCTGACCTCCCAGCCTGTCAGAGAGTAACATGGTTGGTCTGGGCTCATGGATAATTCATTCAGTCTCTACCTTTATAACTTAAAACGTGTAACAAACAGTGTAACAAACAAGCACTGCCTCTCATAAGGTGGATCTTGCTATTTCCCCACTGCATTGCCTATGGTTGGACACGGACAAGACTGAGAGATCTGTGGGAGGGACGTGCGTGGTTGTGGAACAGCTCTACACCCAGCAGAGTTTAGTGTGTGCTCATTCTCACTTTCCTATGTGCTTTACCAGAGTCCCTTGTCCTGCTTCAGACACCAACACTACTTACTTTTGGTCTCAGAAGAACGGATACACAGCTAGAACATGATGATTTCACAAATAAAAAGAGGTGGCATCTTATTAAACAGATGGCCCGTGCCAGCATAACAACACGTAATGGGGCAGGATGTATTCATCTGTGTGTTTCTGTTACAGCCTGTAATTCTAAATGTTGTCTAGACCTCATGGTATGTTCAGTCGGTGTTGGAGGAACAGCTGCTCGTTGGTTTTTTTTTTTTTTTTTTTTTTTTTTTTTTTTTTTTTTTTTTTTTTTTTTTTTTTTTTTTTTTTTTTTTTTTTTTTTTGAAAACAACAGTATTCATTTATAGTCTTATAAAATTAATCTCAGCTTACCTTGTTAGATGCCTACTTAATTCATGAACTTCCATTTCAGAGCTTTTAAATTCATTAAGCTCTTTTCGAATGGCTGCCTGCAAAGGACAAATAAACTCATAAATGTATAAATGACAGAGATTAAAATAAGTTCATTTTGTTCTCAAAACAGTATATTAAAAGTGAAGCAAATAGATAACATTATCAAAGAGAGAAAGACCAACATAAAGACTTTAAAATATGAAAAGTAACAGAGATAAACATTTCCTTGGGTGAAGTTACCTAAAGTGACTGATCTTACTTGTGAAGAAAAGAGGGATGCCTCACTTCCAGCCCTCTACGCTGCCTCAGGCTGTGCACCTCTGCCCTCTTCCTCCCTTCTGACCCAGCTTTACAGTTTATTAAACCAATTCAACACATTAATCCAGCAGAAAAACAGCCATGGTGCCGTGGTATTCACCCTCTGTGGTTTGTCCATGAGGGAACAGAAAACCAGGGGCACTGGCAGGAAGAGAAATACTGAAGAATAAAAAAAACAAGAGGGGGTGATTTGAAGGAACTCAACTGCATGGAAGACGTGGCACTCAGCAGAACTAGCTCGAGTCCCAAGCCCAAAGTCAAGACCTCTGACAGCTCTGTGATATTTGTAGCTCATAAAGGGGTTTCACTGTGAGCGTATGGAGGCAACACAGAAGGTGGTTCCTGTTGAAGCCACTCAATTGAGGCAGTCTTTGAGAAACAAAAGGTTAACTCAACCACAAAATTGTGGAAGTAGTTCCAAAACCCTAGCATTAAGAAACCACAGAAGTAATAAATTGTCTGAGGAACAGAACATGTTGACAAGATAGAACATTTAAAACATAAAACAAAGAGATAGCAACATCAGCAAATCTTAGAACGAGCCAAAAGTCAACCTGACACTTGCCAACTATCCAAATTAGGGAAAGATCTGAGGAAAGTTCAAAAGTTTACAACGAGGAAGAACCAACGAACAACCACTGCCCATGATGAAGGCTACAGGAACTCCCACCTCTAAACCTCCCCAAATTGAAGACTCCGCCTATATATGAATATTACAAGTAGATGTTGCAATTTAATGAATATGCATGTTTATGATGTAATCTTATGCTCTAAACTGTATAAAAGAACTGTGCTGATTGTACAAGACAGAGTTCTTTGTCCAGGGCGACCTGGGAACTCTCCAACGCGTTGCATTAAAATACCTCCTGCTTTAAGGAAACAAATCTTTATCTCTAAAGCAGTCTCTCTGTGCTTTTTTGGGGCAAAATTTGGCTTCACTGTGGCCAAACGCTCCCACGGGTGCAAGGTGTGTGCCACTGCCTTTTTGTGGGATGCTGAAAACATCAGCATCAGTGACTACAAGTGTCTGCCAGCAATTTTTCCTCAGTGAAGGAAATCTAAACTAGTATGAGTTGCATGAGCCCATAACAGGGCTTTTGCAACAGCCACTGACCCAGTCACCAATTACCTTTGCCTTGACAAGCCCTAAGTGATAGGTTTTGCAAGTGCTTTTCTACAGAAAAGGCCCCTTGTGCTCTTTCTGCACAGCTTTGGGTTTTTATTTCCCTTAGAAGTGCCTGTCAGGCTCTGCCTCCATCCATCAGGACAGAGTGATGGCTATACTGCATCTCATGGGCCTACATTCAGCAGACCAATCTGCTACTGAAGTGACTGTGAAGGAGGCCACAGGAGCTGCTGATTCCCACAGGGTCTGAGATCTGTTTCTCCCTCCATCCCTCATCTATTGAAGAGATGCAAAAGCGCCCTTTTCTTTCCCCTAAGAGTCAGACCTGATAAAGACGAACTTCGACTGAAGGCAATTCCCTCCACCCAGCACACAGAGCAAGATTTACTGACTAATAGAAAAGCCCATTGCTAAAATCAGTTTTTGCAATAAATCTAGCCTGTGCTGACCAATGAAGACAGCTATGGAATCAAAGCTCTGGAAAAAAACAATCTTTTATAGGATGGTGTGGCTTTGTCAGGCATTTTAGAGTTTATTTCAATTTGTCTGGCTATTTTTTCCAACAGCGGACATAGTGGTGGGGAATCAGCAGATCATCTGAATGGTAGAAATCAGAATACTGCCCACAGGACCCAACCCCAAAAAACAATCTATCTGCTTCCCTATGCCATAAGAATGACAAACTCTCTTCATCTGATGATGCTTTGATGAGAAAATATTCATTTGGAAAACTTAGCCAAATATTCATTTGGAAAACTTTGCTCTAGCTATTGAATTTGCACATGCATTATAAAAAAAGAAAAAGTGATGTCAAAGTACTTTGCCTTAATACTAAACTTTTTACCAGGTTACATTTAATAGTGGTATTTCATGTTTGTATCACACTGCTCTGCTAGGTCTTGCAGAGGCTCTCAGCTGGAAGCGTTAAGACCAAAACCAACATAAAAAATACCGGGGCTGTCATTAGGACCTTTCTCAAAGGGCTTGGGATTCCTTTCCTCTCCTGGTTTCCATGCATGTAGAAACCTTCTTGCCAAAGATTCATGATTCAAACAAACAAACCTCACGAATGGGAAAAAAACACAGCTGTGTTGGGAAGGGAAGTCAGGTGGGGGTTTATTCCTTGACACCCATGGCACCTGTGGGACCTGAGAGATGCCACTTGCTGCGACTTGCTCTAACTATTCAGGTCATGGCTCTTCCCAAGTTGTTCCACTTACTTTGTCGGCGGCTGTGAGTCGTGTCCAGGGTTTGTCTGCCCTCCGGTCGTAGTCCTGCGCATCTGCCACTTCCACGTAGTCACTGAAGCGGATGAGGATCTTCCTCTCACGTAGCTCTTCTACTGTGGGCCTTTGACTCAGCTGCAGGTTTGAGGAAGAAGCGGAAAAAGATGTCAGGACTTCTCTTTTTCCCTGCAGAGTACTGCTTGGGGATTTACTTTACTACAACCATCGTTACTGTAATAAGAGGATTCAGACATTCCCAGTGCTTTTGTTTAATCAACCTTTCACAGAATTGCTACGGGGGAGAGGCCCTCTTGTTACAGCACTGTAAATATCATCCCATTTTGCTGTCAGAGCAAGATGTTCTTTGGGAAGCACCTGTGGCTAGAGACCCCAGTCCCTGGCTGAGGTTGATCGCCCCTAGCAGAAATGAGATGTAATGCAAAAAAGTCTCCTAGTGCACTGATATCCTAGGAAGAGACAAAGACCACAACGCAACTTTAAAACTACCTGCACAGGCTGTTCACTCCCCAGCCTTCTGCTGCTCTGTGTCTGTGCTCCTGTGCTGCCTAGTAGGAGTCAGGGCAAGGCATGGAGTGGCTCCCTGAATTATGTGCAAACGGTGACAAACGACTTATTTTACGATTCTCTTATTCTGCAGACTTGTCTTTACCTCCAGAAAAGGCAGGCAGGATGACTAGTGCTCACTGAACTTTTCACTGTATCTATTGACAGTTCTGTTTTGTGTCACAGCATATTTGACTTTTAATAGTTTATGTTGCATGCTATAAGCCAAAAAAAAAAAAAAAAAAAAAAAGTCAAGGGTGGATTCTATCAAGTCAGGAAAGCATCTTCATTGTTCCAAAGCATTTCTTTCAAATTCCACAGCAGAATTGGCAGCCACAGTCAAAACTCCTCTCAAATTAGAAAGAGTAGTATGCTCATAGTCCACGTATTGCACAGCCAGCTATATGGGCAGGGACAGGAGTTAGCTTTCAGGGATCAATTCCCCTAGGATGCACAGCATGCTGCTTAATGTCAAAAGCAATTACACAACTGTTTCTGAAGAAGGTGCTACATGTGTGGATGTGGCTGTAGCTTAGCTGAATAAGTTTCACTGCTAGACTGAAACATTTGTGACCAGGATACATCAGGAGAAATAATAACCTGGTAACAATGACCTACACAGTGTATCATGCTCTTTCCACTCACTAGAAATAGCTGTGCTTTGCAATACTTCACCCTTGTGAAGAGTGAAATGTCTAAATGCTTCATAAAATGTTTGAGACTCTATTCTGCAACATTATTTATGCTCCTGAATCCACCTTCCTCCCACATTAGGTCTCTCAGTTCCCAGCATTTTGTCTTCCAGGAAGAATTAAGATTCAAAACAGCCAGGATCCTAAGTGGAAGGTGAAAAATCCCACCTTTCTCCAGCATCTGGGTGCCAATGCACTGGCCCATCCTGTGTCTGGCTTTGAGCCTGTGTGTTTGTTCTTAGCATGGATGGTTGCCTTTCTGTTCTCTTGTGATGGGAGGTGACAGTGGGGCTCCTCTCCTTACAGCAGCCCTGAGCATGCACCCACAAACCAGGTTCAAACATTTCAAGTGGAGAGCCTGCAGAGCTGCACTAATCTCCTGCCTGTGAGATGATCAGGAGAATTAAAATGAGGATGGAAATTCTATCCTTCCTGGCTTCAGCCCAGCCATTTTGCATGCACCAAAACCAGAGAAATCAGGGAAAGAGAGTGTAACAACTCTAGGAGAGGAGCACAGCTCTACACCCTGTTACATGATGCCCTTGCCTAGGACAGCTGGCATCAGTCAAGTCACAGCTCAGCAGTTCATGTGTTGTCTCCAAAGCCATTTTGGGGTAAATTATGACACTTAATACAGGGCAAAACTCATTGTTGGTTTGAAAAACAACTTTGAAACTTTGGAATATTGCAAAGATCTTAACACTAAACAGTTTTTCACACCCACCTTCTTCTATGGGAAGCATGATGTTTCCCAGGGCGAGCTGCTCTGCATGTGGCTGCCACACAACATTCCTCCTATTTCACTCAAAAGCTTCCCAAGAAAAGCCCTAATTCGTATACCCATGCTCAGGTCAGCCATGTTCAGGTCAGCCAAAAAGCATGTACATGATGAGGTTAACAAAAAACATTCCCTCCTGAACTCAGGCTACACGTTTTGGGGACTTCTTTTTAAGAAAAGCAAAATGTATAAACAGCAGGCATAGCTTTTTTTGTCTTTTTTTTTAGGCAACAAGATAAACATATCTCTGAACTAGAGTACTGTGTCAGAAAAGCCAGAGGGCACAATAAAGTAGATCAAAGCACGTCTAGATTTAAAAATGTTATTTTTCATTCTAACAGAATGAAATTCTAACTATAATTGGTTCTTCAGCCTGGAGTTCTGATACCTACACCTATGGCACCTGCAAGCCAAATACACACTGCAAACAAAACCAAGAAAAGCTAAGTGCTATACCAAACTTGGAGTATAATCACAGTTAGGCTATGAGAGAGGCTTCTCTCTGTCCTACAATTCATCTTAAATGTGGTCTCGGCAGGTTTTTCTAGCAGCCCTTATACTAGGAGTTGCAGGTTTTTTAGCACTGATACAATATTATTCAGATAATACAGCACAGATTTGCTTTCAGTTATTGAAAATCTAACCTCTGACTATGGGAATCCCTATGCTGAAATAATATTATGACTATACCTGAAACAGGAAGGGTTAATTGAAATACTTTTACTGTAAACCCATAAGAGCCCCCCTACCCCCCTGTATGACTTATAGTTTACCGAAAGCTGTATTTCGTTTACTGTAAGCTACATTTCATACAGGAAGACTTTGTCCCGTGCTGGGCATCAGACCTTAAAGGAACCACAACAAACACTGGACAAAGAACCCAGCGCCCATAAATCTCATCCAGAGGAGCCAAGGTGACATCTCAATAGGTAAAATAGGCCCAAAGCCAAGGGTTTCTTTAAGGCTGAGTGATCAGAACACAGAACAATAAAAAGAACGAAAGGTCACGAAGGTCACCCGATGAAGAGGAGAGAATTTGAGACCCCATGAGGAAGTAAGGCAGGATCTACCCCCATAATATTCCTTAAAATAGAGACCACGCCTCAATCTCCGCCCCTAACTCCACCTGTTATGAATATTGTAATCTAATGATGCAATAATATGAGTATGCATGTGATTATGATGTAATCATTACCAAACCTGTATAAAATACTCATTCTAACCTAACCAGCTCGGAGCCTGTTTTCCCAGCACTAGCTGACAGGCTGCCCGGCCGTTAAATAAATAAATAAATACCTTGCTGCTTTAGACATAAAACTCTGTCTAAACAGTTTTATCTGCTTTTTTTGGGCATCACACCCCAAAATTTCAAGGATAAGGCTGAGACTCCATCTTTACTTGCATCATCTGCTTCTTTTCCCGCAACAGCATGAATTAAGGATGGATCACTAATATTATCACTTCTCAGCTTTTATCATCTTTGGACATAGCCTAGATGTTGCTTCAGGTTGGAATGGAATTAAAAAAGAAATCAAACCAAAAATGTCTTACTGCATGGAGTGTGACAATACCAACAAAATACGAAATCCTGTGAATTAAACTCTGTGTTTCTAAACGGCTACAAGGGAAGTGGGAATTCCTACAAGCTTTCTAAGCTGGAAGAGGACTTCCAAAAATGACTGACTCTACTTCACAGCTTCTGTCAGCTCCTGACATTATCTGGCTCTCAGGTTTGTACTAATCCAAGTGATGTGCAAGTTTGTACAAAGGAGAAGGCAGGTGGTTGCTGATACAGTGAAACATGCCATGCCAGGCTGCTTTCTAGGAGGTGTCAGGAAGGCAGGAGCATCAAGGGCCACAGGGATGGTGATGCTTCTGCTGGCAATGTAAATTCATTGTTGGTGTTTACCTCAGCGGTGCACTGATTCTTAAACAGCTAATCTGGTTTCCTTTGTGCACTGAGTGTAGGTAAAATCAAAGAAATAATACTAAATGTTAAGGGTCACATGATGAAAGTGAGACACATCTGAGGTAAGTTTTCATATTTGCAAATGCACAAAAATCAAATCAGGTGCATCACCTGAAATTCAGTGGGAAACTTCGGGGTGTGTGAAGAGCAGTGCACTGAAATAGATGTGAAAAAATGTCAAGGGCATAAGCACACTATGAAACTGTGTTAATGTGCATATTCTCAGGTAACACCTGAATGTAAGACAGACTAAAAGCTGCTTCTTCCCCTGAAGGCATAAAACTATTGCTGTAAATTAGTTTTAGATGCCCCGCCTTTGTTTCAGAAACCTACAGCCAGTGCAATTTCAGGTAGTTCTACACCCTGTCAGAGTGGTAGGCGGTGCCTCCATCTCCATAGAGAGGGAAAAGCAAGTGAAGTACAGGGACTGAGCAACCTGCTCAAGGTGACCCAGGAAGCCTGGAGCAGAGCTATAAACAGGAAAAAAGATGCACTGACTCTCGTGCCAGTGCTCTGGCTGTGAAAGGGTCCTGAAATCCATCGCTGATATCACATAGTTCATGTGTAGCCATAAATCTACATATATTTCCATATATAAAGACATGCACACAAAATACATTCAGTACATCAAACCAAAATGCCAAGCTGATCATGCTAAATTTAGAGAGAGGGGCAACCACACTGAGTGATTTTCTAAAAGCCGTTAATTAAAGTTACATTATTTGAATGGTTGACAAACTTCCCTGCCTCTCTCTCATGCCATTGCAGAGATTTCTTGTGAGCTGCTAAGTGCAAGGGTCTTGCAGTATGTGTGTGCTGCAGAGAGGTCCCTTAACTCTTGAGCAGCTGGGGAAAGAGCTTTGCAGAACAGACTCTAAGCAGCCCCACTGGAGGCTTCAGTTCAATCTGTGTCCATGTTGAGGGCACAGCTCACCTGAGATCTCACCTTGGAGCTCATTTTTATGACCTGTGTGCTGTGGTCTCTTGGGTCAAAATTGCTTAATGCTACGGAGTCCTTCTTGAACAAAACCAGAGAACGAGCTCTTCCAACAGGCACATTCAAAACTTACAGTAAAAGGACACGGCCAAGGACATGATGCAATTGTCAGAACAAGGCAGTGATGCTCCAAGCAGGGAGAAAGTGTTCTTACTGAGCTGGAGCCTTTTGTACTTACTTCTGTTAATGTCAAAGGGATTTAAGTGTGTCTGCACTTCTTCTGTGTGCACCACTGGGCATTTACTTTTCTATTTACCTATTTGTGAAGATTTGTGAGCCGAGGGAGCTGGATAATTTTATCGCAAGTGACTCATTATTTGAGCGTGAACCAGGGTAAAAATCCCTTACGAAGTAAATGGATTTGTACTAATGCAAAAGCAGCAAATGAGGACAGGACCTCTCATGTCTTGTCATAGGAAGTCAGCTTTTTCTCTGTATATTCTGGATCACAAATAGATACAAATGGGCACTTTTCAAGCTTTGATACTAAGGCAATTTTGAAGGGAAGGTTTAACACAAACCCCTTTGTCCTTGGCATGGGAAATGAAGCAAGCCCAAGCACTGACACCAGGTAAAGAGGAGAGGGACATACTTTTGCCAGGTTGGTCTTGGGATTTAGACAAATACAGAATGCTGAGTTTGCTCCACTTCAGTCACAAGGAAGCTTCTTGTCTTGGCACGTCATCGTTGCCTGCTCTGTTTCCTCATTAAAATGTTATGATTGTTATTTAGGGAAGAAACTAGGGTGAAAAATTACAGACCCTAGGCAGCAGCACACACAAGCCCCTCTTCTCCTTTGCTCCCCACCTTTTGTGGTAAAGACATAGCAGCAGCATGTGATTAAAATGCCCTGAAGACCTTTCTCTCTGACTATAAATGCAGTTTATCCAAATTAGCTGCTACTCTTTTTTATTCTCTGACCTTTCCCCTCCCTCCTGCCTTCCTCCCACCTCTCACAGGAGTTCATTATTTTCAACAGCCTGTGCTGATGCAAATCAGTGAAGGTCAAGGAAAAGATTGAGCATCTTCAACCAAGCAAGGCATTTCCCAGTGAGGCACGATGAGCAGATAGTTTAAATTGTATCAGGGCAGGAATTTAATGGGAGCAAAGATTTCAGATTATTGAATGGATTTTAAGAAATAGCCACACCTCACCATTTTGGTTGTCTATATTACAGCTCTGAGATATTTCATTTTGGAGCTAGAGCTTGGGGAAAAAACAAGCTATTGGCAGTGGGGCGATAGGAAGCAGTAAACAGTTCTGGGGATTGGGGAGCACGATGCTGTTTAAGGGAAGAGAAGGTAGGAAGAGTTGTATTCCTCTTTGCAAGTGAGTAATGTGCCCTGGTAATCCAGGCTACGACTCTGTCTCTGTAATGGAAGTCCTCAAGGGGGCATTTAGGCTGCTGTTAATTGGCTTGGAGCTCTGCCAAATTCAGAGAGGATACATTCCTAGTAGTAATTCCTGGGGGCCCAGATTTCCCTGTGGCCATGACCCATCTGCAACACTTCTCCCAGAGGGCCTCTGCACATTAATATTCTTGGAATGGACTTGGGGTCAAGACCAGTGCTCAGAGAAAAAAACCTTCCTAATCCACATATCCTTCCACTCAAATGTTCCAAGTCCATGTGCCCAAAGCTGCTCATTGGGCCCTGAGGTGGGGGGGAGGAGAGGACAGGGGTGGCTGGATGTGCAGAACCCAGCCATAAGCATCTCAGGCAACAGGCAAATACGCTTCACCTCTCTTTCCTTGGGCAGGAGGGACACAAGGTACTGAGAAACCTACCCAACAGCATTTGCCTCAGCTTTGCTCTTTGAATGGCAGCTATTCCCCATTCCCAGTCAGTTTGGAATTAGATGAGAGGATGAAAAGTGCTTAAAGGGGCAGCTCGCTATAGGTCACCTGACTTCTTTTTAATTTTTTTTTTTTTTTGTCAGAAATTGCCTGTCCACATGATGAATTCAACTGGATATTTATTGCTGACTTTAATAAGGCATCTAGACCTAGCAAGGTAATTTTACTTATTACAGTATGTCATGTTACAACTTATCATCATAACACTCTAACAAAATGTCAGCGCTGAAGGAATTTTAAGAACAGCTTTTTAATGGATGGAGCATATTGTTCCCTTGGAGTTGGAATGTCGCCACCAAAAAAACTGGGGACAGTAGCGTTTCTATCCTGCAAGGTCAAAAGTCTCATCAAGAGCTCCTATAGAACCCCCTTCCCTTCTTATTACCAACTGCACACAGATACAAAAGAGGAAACATGTCACACTTTGCTTATGTTGAATTTACCCTGTGGGTATGTGTGTGCTCTAAAACTCAGCGCAAACAGAAAGGACTGCTGGGCAACATACTTGCTGTGCTCAATTAAACTTCTGCTTGATCTAAGGTTCAAAATCCTTTAGAAGTAAGAATTCAGCACAAAACAACAGAAGGTGCCTGCCACTCCGCTGTAAACACAACGGCACATCTGGGACATGCTCATGAAAGACACAGCTGGGGAATAACAACTATTTTTGCAGGATTCACTAGGTGGTTGGCATTTCTAGTTGTTGTCTGGAACACTTTCACACTTTATTCACTTATTTCCTCTAGTGATTTCTGAGCTTTTTTGATGGTAGGTTTGGTAGGTGAGAACAAAATCTCTTGTTAGATCAGGCCTGTGGTTCTTTCATTAAAATTACATGTGTCACTAGAACATTTTACAACAGTTTAAAAAGATGCTCCAAATCAAACAGTACTAAGTCAGGTTGCTACCAACCCCACAAAGGTGAGGGAGAAAAATGTTTACTAGGGATGAGGCCAAAAAAAAGCTAGAAGGAATGTGACTGGGAACTGGGGTATGTACATTAAAGAGCTGACTGCCAGGGACTCGGACTGATGCTGCTCTTCCTGTTGTTTCTGCTTAGAAGTGCAAACAAGACAAAGCAAGAAATCTTACAGAAAACTGCAGAGGTTTCAGGGAGCAGACACTGCTGTGATATTTGTGGCAGTCTGGGTGTGTGGCTGTGGCTTCTGCCTGCAGCAGACCTTTCCTACAAAATAGTGGAGGATGGGACCATATGGTGATGATGCCAGCTCAGGTAGCAAGCCCTCTGTTCTTAGGCAGCAGATGGGTATGGGTAGCTTTGGTTTTTATCTTTTACAGCAGTTCCTCAAATGGCATCAAGCCCTGGATTCGATTCCTGCAGGTGTTTACACTTCAGTGTACAGAGAAATTTAAAGCCTGGTAAAAATGGTATTCCTAGCCTTTGTGCAGAGCCCATGTCCCACAAAACATCTGCAATGCAGCTAGGATCTTTTCTTTCAGGCTGTGCTATGAGGAAATGCAAAACCATCCCTGTCACTGTGGTTAGGAATTTAAGTGTTTTAAAAATAATATTACGGCTCTCTGGGCCGCAATCTCAGCTCCTGCAGACACAGCAGTATCCCCCTGCTGGTGACCAATAATCTGCCTATTTACTTGAACTCAGAATAAGGTATGAGCTTTTTAACCACGAAAGAAGACAATCCAGTTCTCTGAATGTAACCTTTCCATGTATATTTAGAGCACTTTCCTGGTTATTATTTATACCATCAAAGTTGTGATCACATACGTCAAAAAGATTAAACCACCTAAAACTGTACAGGAAGGGAATGGCCCTGCTTCACAAGTGCGTGAGTTTTTAGGGGGCTTTCTCCACTTCTGGAGATAGGAAATATGTCAGTGGTGAAATAAGGTTTATCTGCAACAACAGGATGGATTGTCCACCATGTAAATTGGGGCATCTGCTGACATTTACATCAGCTCCAGAACTGAATACGTGTATCTGAAATGACTTCTTCAGTTTGAAGAGTAAATGACTTTCAAATGGGAGGAAAACCAAACCCAAATGATGGTGTTTTGTTTGTCCTTCCCTGCCAGTACAAGATAGTGCAGAAAACAATTTTGCAAATGCTTGTCTCTATTTAGTTTAAATACCTCAACTGACAATCTCCCTTTCCAGAAAATGTTTAGTTCCCATTTTATGGGGGTTTTTTGGATGGAATTTTAAAATGCAATCAGCACTGTTTTAACTTTGCTCTCTGTAATGTCTGCAGAAGCCATTACATTTACAATGAGAATTGGTCCTTGTAAATGCTGGTCTCTCTATCCTTCGCTATTCAAAGCTCCTTCAGTGATGAAGACTAGATCTTCTTTTGTCCTGTTTGAAATGTTACCAGCAATAACCTGCAAAGTGGTTCCCTTCACTCTCCGTGGAGTTTTACCCCTGTAACACTACTGACTTCTAAAGATTTCTTTTAAGACTTGTTTCACACTCTACTTTTGAAAATGGTGATGAGGAAAAAGGAAAAGATAAACAACTGTGCAGTAGGGAGAAAGTTACAGAAGTGTCATAATAGGATCAAAGTTGCTTCTCACCTTACGTGTTAATCTTCTCTTAATCTCTCGTTTTTCCTCCTGCTCCTCTTGCTCATTCCGGGCTGTAAAAGATTTACAAGGATCTCAGACTGTGAACTCATCAGGCATGCACAGTTTGCAACAAAATAAGCCTTTCCATCAGTATATTAATGTTTCAGGACCTCTCTGATGCACAGTATGTCCCTCTGGGTCTGGTGAATGTCCTCGATCCGTAGCCACTGTGCTTCCTCACACGCTTCATAAAACAGCTACAGCTTCCTTCCTTTCCCTGTGTTGGCACCTCTTCATGTGTGTCACTTTCTAGAAGGGCTGGGCAGAGAGCCAGCTCTTCAGAAAATGTTATCTCCCTGCCCATAGGCCTGGTGGCCTCAAGGGGTTCAGCTACGATATGGTCGGATTCTGCAAGGCTGCAAGGTCAATGGCTGGAAAAGAAACACATGCCTTTTTTTTTTTTTCCCCCACCCACAGAATAATTTCTTGCAGCTACTTTTTGGGGATAATAGAAAAAAACCACTTCAGAATAGAGGTGCCAGGCAAATCGTGTAACTTCCCATGACCTGAGCAGAGTTAAGGAGAGTGTGTCCTTCCATCATGAGCCTTCACAGCACCACACTGGAGCACAAAAGCACATCCGACGGCAATTCACTTCCAACAATAAGCCAAAAGATCCCATACTACAAGTTCTTACCAGGACACGCCTCAATTATTCCCTCAAAAGGACAATAACATTTGAATACACAAACTCTTATTCAGCTTAGGAGCAGGCTGTCGTGTCTTTACATTGAACTTTACCAAAAGTCACTGAAATCCCAGTTAAGATCTGTTTCCACCACTTCTTTGATGACTGAAATGCTCCTTACTCCAATCATCCCGGCACATAACAGGTGAGAGCAAACACAACTCATCAGTTTTTCCAGTAAGTACTCTGATGCCCTGCTGTGATCTGCTTTTCACTCAGACAGGACTAGCTCAGGCAGGAATAACTCTCTGCAGGGGAGATTATGGACCTCAAAGGCCTGTTTAGGATAGGTGCCTTGATTTAAATTATTCAACTCTGGGCTGAATTAAATTCCAGGGGAAAATCAGTTCCTCTCCGCTGATCCCCTGGAAGGAGCAGGCACCTCTGGCAGAGTGTCAGTAACAAACCACCAGCTGTAGCTTCTTTAGCTGTGAGAGCACAAGTCAGCACTCCCACTAACCAACTGTGACGAGCCAGAAATAATACACGGAGCTCCAAACTTGATGGGAGTCTGCTCACAGTGGAGGGGATGCAACGCTTCAAACCAATGCATACAAAACTGAGGCTTTCCCCACACAGAAATGAAACCTGAAGTTTAGAGACCACAGAGACCTCTGAGCAGGTGAGAAGGGCTAGGCTGGAAAGCAGGTTTCTTGCTGCTCAGGACAGGCTGATGGGTCTATCACAAGTGCTCACTGACTTCAGCAGGACTGGGAAACCTCCAGCGAAGTAGACAAAGAGCCATTCAGTGTTACGATGTTTCATACTACACTTCTGATCTTTAAGTACCGTTTTACAAAAAATACTGCTTACATTTTCAGAAGGAGGGGAACTGATACTGGAGTAAAAAGAACACAAGTTAGCAGGGAGTCACAGATGGCTTTTTAAGTGATCACCGGAATACCTACACTGATAAATGTAATTTTCCTCTTTCAGTGGTTCCTGTCCCTACTGGGCTGGATTCTCTTCGAGCAATTGATCCCCTAGCAATATTTTTCTTCCCTTTGTGTCTCAAATTTGAAGGAGTTGATCCTGCAAATGCCTACTTTAAGAGACAGGGCCACTAATAAATCTGTGTAAGATTAAGCTAGAGAGATACAGAACTAAATAGAGCCCACAGAGAGTCAGGGTAGAACAGAAAGTAGCAGAGGATAAAACTTAGTTATGGCCTTTCCCTTTTGTCCTTGGCATCCAATGCCTTTCTTTTCTCCTCACTCTTATCTCAGCCACCCATCTTCAGAGACAGCCAGGCAGGCCGGAGACACTGGTTAGGTAAAAGCTGGAAATTAGGAATACATTCTCCTCCAAAACTAGAAAGTGATTTTGTTTTAGCTATTACTTTGAAGTTAAGTCATGCTAATCTTGTGAAGCTATAAAACTGATGCTTCATTTTATCTTACGTGTTCAGGAGATGCTGTTTCTCTAGACCTGAATGTCAGGGTGGGTGGGTGCAGGTTTACAATTTTCAGGCCTGATTTCTGTGCCAGTGTGAAATGTCTCCAGTACAGTCTGAGGCTCTCAGAGTCTACCCAACCACCATTTCTGTGACAAATTTATGCAACCCTGACTGTGCCAGGCTGACAACTGGACTTGTATCCATCCGTGAAGTCGCACAGGGGTGATGCGTGGAGGGGATTAAGACATCCTTCCTCATAAACCTGGACGGCAAGTATTAACTGCAAAAAGTGTTCCTTAATCTTCAAACTAATCTTGCAGGCCTGGACTTCTCTCACTACATGCCTTTGACTTAAACATGAGTCAGTGACTTGGGTATACTTCAGTGAAGGACCCTTCAAGATTCAGTTGTCCCTGCTATCTGTTTCCTTGCTGTGACTGCTGTAATCTTACTGTTGCTATCAGTAAGTAGTGAAACTTGCGCAGTGCATGCTTTGCCCTCGTAGTTTGGTAAGGATAACTCATTGCAGCAGCACAGAGCGAGGAAGTGTTCAATTCATGTATTAAGACTGGCTGCCCAACCACATTTTGCCTCATTTCTTCCCATCAGGATGGGCAATAATGCAGTTACACGTGTAATAGGAACATCATGGTACCAGACATGACACTTGAAACAGGGAGATTTCAGCTTTAACTGCAGAGGAAATCCTATTTAGTCTACTCAGGAGCTTGCTAGGTTTTCCTCTGTGTGTGTGTGTGTGCGCGTGCTCTGAACTGGGCTATTGCAAACTGCTTGACCTGCTCATGCAGAGACTTCACACTCTTTTTATTATCGCTTCCTAAGTCTCTCTTTCCCTGTGCTCCATTATATTTATTATAATTCTCCTTCTCAGAAGTCTAGAGGAAGAAAAGAAAGTGATGTACAAACCAGGCACTATTTATATTTACTTGTTTAAGGGTAGAGCATGTTTATGCTTCCTTTTTTAAATTACGTAACTATTTTAATTTTTTCCTTTCCTTCTGAGGTTCACCAAAAGTTGGAATGCCTTGGAAATACCACTTTACTCTTTCCTGTAAATAGGAAACTGTTTATCTACCAAGACACACATGTTTTGGGGCAGATCTGTGCTATGGAATCAAGCTACAAAAATTCCATTTAGGAAATACAGTATGATTCTGGATTCAGGGTAGTATGTTCAAACATCCACGTCATTTAAGAGCCTTTAGTCAATTAAAAAAAGAAACTAATGCTACTCAGAGGATAATTCCTCTGAAATGTAAGAGATCTTCAGGGCACTGTGTGACTGCTGTGCTTGGAAACGTGACGTTTAGAAACGCCTGCAAGGCACCCAGCGTTGGCCTCTCTGCTGATGCTGGTTCAAACACTGCTGCCAAAGCAGCTGCCCAAGACCCCCACCGCCCCCCAGCCACCTTCACTAGTGCCAGGGCAGTGCTCACTGGGCACTCACCAGTGCCAGGTGGTGCCTGACACGTGTCTGTTCGCAGGTCCCGGGATGACAACATGAGCTGCCCGGAGAATTGGCCTCTGTCCCTCCTCGCCTGAGCCTGGCATCAGTCACGTTGCACGTCCCCCCTCCTCCAGCTGTTCTGCTACCTGCCTGCGAGACAATCATGTCTGGATGTGCCAGCTATTTCCCTGGGTTCTGCCCCTGACTTCCTCCAGCAGCAGGTCACTGAAGTTAGGACTAGACAGCACAACCACAGCTATTAAGAGAGGGCTTTTTCTGGCAGCCTCAAGGTTGCCCACACCACTCTGCTGTCTAGTCTTTTCTCCTCTTTGCACTGACAGTGCCACATTCTCTTTGCCTGCCACGTGTCATAACATGAACAGGAAAAAAAAAAAGATGCTGGGCATTAACACTATCATTAATTTGCTAAGAATTTGATTTTGAAGTATTTAATCAATAAATTCTGCTAATTTTCAGGGAAGTAATCTTCTGCTAACACATTTTTATGATTCTGTACAATGCAGTTATTTGAACAAGAAAGGGAGACATTATGTATAAAAAGCACCATTAAGGAATACTTTTTTTCTGTAGTGATTTTTTAAAATTTTCCTGGAATTATGCATTTACCACCCTGAAAAAGCAAGAACTTGTTTACTTTGCTTTCTGTTTCCAAAGTAACAACAATTAGATAAAAACTCTTTTTTTTTTTTTTTAAATATTCAAATCACTTCAATGTGAGTAAAGAAACTGCCATTTTTTTCCTGTTCATTCATGAAGTTATGAAATTTGGACTCAGTCTATCTTCCCTTGAAGCTGGTGGTAATGTACCTACTAACCTAACCTGGATCAGGGTCTCTAAATTGTATTTTGTTCCATTAATATATTACACGTTGAGGATCTAACAGCAAGTTTTTGGCTGATTTAAAGGAAGAGTTTCAGGGGAACATTTCCAGAAATAACCCCAAGTCACACTGCGTTCTTTTTAAAATTAAATAAAGGCTCCGGCTAGTGTAGATTGCTGTGAAGGTTTTTAGGAAAGCTAATCAAGCTATGCCCTTACTAACTTACAATGGGATGCTCATCTAGCTAAGTGCCATATAAAATAGGCTTTTTGGGATGACTGACTCTTTGTTTGGAACATCGTTCAGCATCTGGGTTTTTTTCCCCCATAAGTTGTTCATTCTTGCAGATTTACTGACTCTGATTTTAAAGAATTGTTTATACAGCTCTAGATGTCGTTACAGACTTCCACGCTTATTTGCATTTATGATGCCTGTTATTATTTTTAATTATTATTAATGATGTATACACAGAATGTACATCACAACTAATCCAAATTAACTGGCTTCAGGTTAAACGTCAGCAGAATCAGGACTTACGTTTCAGTATGTTCCTCTGCTCCAATTCTTCAGCAGTTGGCCTCTGGCTCAGTCGTCTGCGAAAAAAGTCCAAGATCAGTTTTTGGACCATATCACATTCTCCTCAGTTCTCTGTCCTGAAGAGTTATTTTGGGGTGTGAAAGGCAGAGCAGCAAGCACGGACACTGCTCCATTATGTAGTTGGTATGCCCCGACCATGCGTGACACAGACCATGCTTCGCTTTCGCATTTTCCTCTGTTTTCAACTCACGAAAGACAAAATACGTTATGTCATCTTAGGCATGACTCTCCCACCCCTACCCCAGGCAGAGCCGCTGAAAGCTAAGCCACACAGATGTCTTCACTTAATTTCCTTCCCTCCATGCCTGCTTCCTGACTCAGGCAAGTATTTCTAGCTAAGATCCAGCTAACCCTCTCGCTGCCCTCTCACCAGTCTCCTGACTGTGCCCCATTTGTTCAAACAGCATTTCAACACACAGACAGTGCACAGAAAAAACAAGGGATGGTTTGGCAGTGCTGAGGGCAGAACAATAGCAGTCCTCCTCCTCCTCCACACACTCACTTCCCTCCTCCTCTGCCTCCTCCTCTTGTGGCTTTTATTAAATCTTATATTGAAGAATCAGCGTGACTTGCTAATCAACCTGTACGTAATAGGGTCACAAACCGCACAATCTAATTACAAATGCAGACTCTGTACATAGGAATGATCTGAATATTCACAATATAAAGCAAGCACAGAAGGGTCTTTGGAAAACAAAGTAAACCAGGGAGATGACATCAGAAGTCAGCACTGTCGGGCATCCTCATACTCTTATCCAAGTCAATGGGAGTTTTGTCAGTGATGCCAGTAACAGGACAGAGCCTCCTCTTCCTTCAGACATGCTCATTCAGAGACATTCCCAACTTGAGGGCCCCGGTCTCTGTCAGCTGGACCATCAGTTTCCCTGTGAGTTACTGGGTACTGATAGGAAACGTGATATGAACACTGGCTGTACAGCTTCATCTTCTGCAGTGAATGCTTCCTCCAACCCAGGGCACAGAAGCTCACTGAAATGGAGCTGGCTCTGCAAGGCTGCATGAGAGATGTGTGACACCGGCTCCTCACAACACAGGGGCTGAGCTGCTGATGCACACACATCCCCAGCCTTCTCCCGAGCCAGGAGCTCCTGTGTGCCAGTTCAATATCCTTGCCCTCACATTCTGCAGGTTGCACAGGGCTGAATGAAGCACAAGCAGGGGGTAGGAACCTACCCCCTAAGCCAGCTGTTTGAAAGCAAAAGCTGATTTAACACAGTCTAAAGATTTCCACCAGTAGAGGTGATACCAGCCATAGATCCTTTGGGAGCACTTTACACCGCAAAAACAAAGCAGAACAACGCGGTCTTATTCCAGTGCAGAATTCAAAGTCAAGAGTTTTGTCTCTTTCCCTTCTTTCGTCTCTTTTACCATCTTTAAGATACAGTAGCTGTTGTTAATGGGAGACTTTACCTTATGACTATGAAGCAATTAAAACTATATTTCTAGCAGCAGATGAGAACCAAAGAGAAAAAGCTGCCACTTTTATCCCCACCACGTGTGTCTGCAGGAACTGTGTTATGTTTTTAATCCCTCGCACCTTGATGTTTTCGAAGCATCAGAGGGATGTTAGGGATGGACTGCAGCTATCCAGCATGAAACGAACATCACACAACTGGTAAAAAGAGAAATCGGTCAGCTAACAGTTCTGTCATGAAGAGTTCACACTAGAACCTTTCTAACAGAAGGCAGAAGTTTTATCTACCTACACAGGTGATTTGCAGAAAGGGCCAAGTCTTCCATGTGGGGTACCTGCCATGAAGTAGACGCATTTAAACTAAGCTTTCATTCCAACATGTCATGGCTTCCACACAAGCAGTCAGAGAATTCCTCCAAGCAGACAGAGAATTCCTCCTTGTTATTATATGCACCCTCTATTCATGTGCTGCTCAGGACTTATAGATCATGGGATTCTTCCCCACACTGCTTGGTAGGGCCCCTAGTGAAAGCCAGCCAAGAATACCTGTGTTCCCCATCAATAGTCAAATTACTGTATAGAACCTATTACCCACCCTTTTCAGGTTGCAGAGTGCTCCCATCTAAAGGATGGCCTCCATTTTTAAGTGATGCACTTACGCGGCAGAAAAAGCCATGACACTTTGGATAGATTTATTCTGGAGATCTGAAGCTATCTGCATTCATGGGCTGTCAATCACTTTTGGGCCCTTATAATCCCAAAAACTTTAATATCAAGACTTAGGCAGTAGGAAAAGATAAGGTACCCTTGTAGTGGAACGAAATCATAACTAGTCCTTACAGTGCAAGCAGTGAAGCACAGCTGGAGGATGAACAAGGTAATGAAAGAAGCTGTGGAGGTTCCTGGCCTCCAGTACCCCTGTCTGCTTTAATTTCCACAAACTGCTGTTACATCCCCATTTCCATCATCCTTATGGTCTGACTTAGCCTGCTCCTGATTTCCTTAAGTCCCTCCTTGATGAGCTCCTCAAACAAACCCAACCACTTCCCCAGCCCTTTCCTTCCAAGCTCTCACAATTTAACTCTTTTCTTGGTCTCTTGCTCATTTAAATTGATTTCTTCTCGTGCTGTTACAGTGACTTCTGCCCCTAAACTATTTTGGGGCTTTAAAAACAACTCCACCAGCTCATCAGGACAGTGCTATTTTAGTTCTTATTTTGCCTTTTAATTTCTAGGTTTGCCAGATGCTGAACAGCTGTTAACTTCTCCGTTAATCTTTGAAAATATTGATATTTGTTACAGATACCTTAAATCAAGGAATGTAGGCAGCTATTGCTTTATTACTACAGCTGCAAAGATACATTTTTTTCACACCAAATTTTAGTACACCATCTCCAGCGCACCACTCTGACCTTGGCAAACACCAGGGGTGATAGCTTCCCTCTTCTGCCTTCCCTCCTGTGCTGCCCAGAATAAAAAATTGTTAATGAAGCCCACCTAGCTTGCAGGGGTTGATTTCAGCAGTTTGATTGCTCAATTGCTGCTGTGCCTTTTTTCATTTAACATCACAGGGGCTGCATGAGTATGTCAACAGGCCACAGGTCATGAAAAAAGTGTCTCATTAGCAGCACAATCAGACTAAAAGAGGAGAAAATGTCTGTTTTGCAAACTGACAAAGGTTTTACTACAATGAAAACCTTCCTAAGATTTATGGTGACATAAAGAAAGCCTTACTAGGATTTCACTGAAAAAATAATATCCAAATGGGATTGTCAGTGAAAAATAAAACAGTTGCTCACATTTACAAACTTGACAGCAAACCAATTTTCTGAATTAATGCCCTGCATGATCAAATGCATCACACTCCCTGTACTAGACAAGATGAGCTGAGCAGCTCTTCACAAGGACAATGTGTGGTGGGGATGATTTTGCTGGGTGCTTTTATTTGTTTGTTTGTTTGTTCTTATGAATTTGCTTTGGGCTGGGTTGCTCATATCATGGTGGATGAGTAGGAGTTCAGGGGCAGGAGGGACAACTGTGTAAAATCAATTGCTGTAGACCTAAATTATTGGCTGATGCGGGTGTAATATCTTCAGGGAGCAAGAGGAAAGAAAGGCAGCATTTTCACTGGTGGATGCTACTGTTTGGAGCCTGCCCAGCAAACTGAGAACTCAGAATGAAAAGGTTTTGGTCCATGTGGCAGTGTCCTGCAGGAGCAATAAAAGAAAAAAACTGGCTGTACATTTCCCTGGGCACTACAAAACACTTAAATGAAGTACACAGTGATGCTCACCCTGCTCTGCAGTATGGCCATTCCCAGAGGGCTCTCAGGACAGCAGCCAACCAGTTGTGGGCCTTCAGGTCAGAGTTCTGCAGCCCTTTTGTCTGGAAGCACCTTTAAAGCACGATGCTCCTGGCTGCCTAGGCTGGCCCCTACCAGAAGTCATGAATTTTCTCTCCCTGATCTCTTGTTTTGCTGTGAATGAGCTCTAAGAAAGAGCTGGTTAATGCCATCCATCTCATTGATATCCTGTGAACAGGATAATTCTGGATGTGTGTTTTCTGGGTACCAAGAATTCATCTTCTGCCCAGAGAACAAGAAAATTTAAGAGCCTAGTGTGGGGTCATCTACAAGTATAATGGCTGGATATAACACTGGGCTTGCTGGAAAATGATTCCCCATATAATTACCAGGCTTATTAACTCCGAGTTTTTGCGGATACAAAAAGAAGAACCTAGCAGCTCTCCAGCACTTGAATGGTGACATCTGGTGTGTGTGACCTGGGAACAGGACTGATGGGCAAACAGGTCACAGGTGGTGACAACAGGGCACGCAGCAGCATAGTGGGGTGTCCAGAACATCTCCAAGACATCTCTGAGCCAAGCCACGATCACACAGCTGTTCCTCATGACTTAAGTGACCCTGATGTAAAATAACTTCTGAGCACAGTGGGGCATAACCTCTGGAGCAGGTCCTGAATTTATTCTTTAGATGCAAATCTCTTTTAATCAGCTGCAACTGGGCTCATACTACTCTAGAGATTGCTGTAAGAGAGGAGTAAATCTGAGCTGGGCACGTGAGAATCCCAGCTGCTACAAAGAACTACTTGTCACATTGCTCTTTAGTTGGCATAAACGAGCATGACTGAACCCAGTAGAACTGTGCTGATTTATATCAACTATATAATTAAACATGAGAAAAATTCAACTGGAGTAAAGAGTCTTAGAGTTGCCTAATTTACCTTGCCTTCCCCAATAATAATGCTGATAGCAAAGCAGTTTTGATGAAGTAGAGGCTACCAGGGGCTCTTTGCAATCCCATGTCAAGTACAGAAAATTTAAAGAGAAAAATGGAGGAGAAGAAAACTTTGTATTTGCTTCTGCCAGTTAATTGTTACCAGAGAGTAGAAATGAACTACCTCCCTCTTTTCCTTACATCACTGCACAATGAGCAAAAAATCATTGTAAGCCTGGAGGTTCACTTTCTCTGAAGAATCAGCCCAGATATTGCCAGCCAGACTGTAAAGTCTACAGAGAACTATCATTCTCCTAAACAGGATTTATA